TGCTGTTGCTGTTGCTGTGTAAACAAGTGACATCTGGCCGACGATCCATGTTGAGTGGCCGCCCCTTGCCCCCGGCTAGCTGTGCGACAATTCGAGCGGGGGTGTTACAAATGTATCTATGTATCTGCAGGCTGCAGCTCAATTTGTATCTTTAGGTATTGCACGCAGTTTGATCGAAGAGCGCTGAGCTGGGTCAGTCTCACACACACGCAGACATGCCAACAATCTGTGTGGCATTCCGCTCTAGCAGATTAGGCTAGCAAATTGTATGGAAGCGAACGGCGTGGCCAACAATGCGCCGCATCACAAAATATTTAATTAAATGCTTAATTACGCTTGCCATGCCATAAATTCATCAAATGCAATTTAAGCTTACACACGCACACACAGCTGCCCCACGACATGGTGCAGCTCCTTCGCTACGACTGCCCGCTATGCTGCATGCGTTAATGTCCACATGCAGATACAAAGATACACAATTACAGATACAGATACAGATACAGGCACACAGTTGCCAGCAGTTGGTGCTGCGCATCTCGTTTTCATTCATTAACAGAGTTCGGCTAAAGCTGAGCAGCCCGGTCGTCGGGTTAAACGATATGTGCCATAACTCTTCCAGTTCAATCTTTGCAAAGACGACACCAACAACTGACTCGTGACTCGTGACTCGTGAAGCGTGAGTCGTGAAGCGTGAATCGTGCGGCCTCTCCACAGTTGCACAGAGTGCGAAATGCAGCTCAGTCTTCTTAAGGATATATAATATGGGTCAGATCTGTTAACTAACTAACTAAACGAACTTTTGAGTTAACTAAAGATACTAAATCTTAGTAGCTGTATCTTGGCTGCAGCTTTAGATACTGTATCTTACTGGCAGCTCAACTAGACTACAAATAAGGCAAGACTTTACTGAGAATCAACTTAAGATACAGTATCTGAATGAAAGTATCTTAGTACCTATGCTTACAGCCAGCCAGATACTCTAAGATTGAACTGTAGATACAGTATCTTAAAATAAGTATGTGAGTAGCTTAACATACTGTAAACAACTGAGCTGTTAAATATGTGCCCACGACAGTCTGTTAAGTTAACATATTAAATAATGCATCTTAATGGAACTACTTTAGATACAGTAACTCAATAAAACTATCTTTCTGTGTTAACTAACATTTGTTTCATGGCTTAAATAAGACTTTGAAGAGTAAAGCAAATCACTGTTAACATCAAATTAACAGAAAACGCATGCTTCAATGTTATTTTGATTGATTTTGCTAACATTTTGCGCACTTTTCTCGCTCTGCGTTAACTGAATGGCTTGCCATCTGTCAAATGGCTTGGAGCTGTTATTGGCTTTAATTGCGAAACTGAAACTTTTACTCTACTGCTATAACTCAATGGAGAATCTGTGGTCGGGTCAATGAGTCTCCATTTCCATGCCCACACACACACACACACACGCACACACGCGCGTACCGTTAGGCCATTGCACAGTAGATGAAATTGACAAATTGCAGTGAAAATTTAGCTTTTGAAATGAAAACGAAATGCGAGCAATTATTTTTAATTGAAAATGTCAAAGATGTTGGCTGCTGAAAAGCGTCGGCCAAGTCGTCAAGCGGCCCAGCGTGAGCGTAAAAAAAGTATCTCACAGATACAGATACAAATGCGCGCTGCACTGCGTTCTGCTTGAGAAATTCAAACTACACATAAGCAACAAAAACAACAGCAACGACGAAAAGAAAAAAAGAAAAACGTGGAAAACTTATTAGAAGCACTTGAGGGCCACTTTGGGAGGCGGCACCTTGAGCGGAAATGCGATAACCCTGAGCGACGGGAAATCGAAATGAAACATAAAACAGAATACGGCACAGCTAACAGATCGCGAGGTATCTGATCGTCGGGCATATTTTATTATTTGCGTAGAACTTACCGGATAGCATGGGCGCCAGCGCAATGGCATTGGAGTCCTGTTGCTGCTGCTGCTGTTGCTGCAGCTGCAGCTGTTTGCTGGACAGCTCCTGCTCCTGCTTCAGCGCGCTCGACTTGCCGGGCACACAGCCTCCGATTGGTTTCTTTGATTTCCACAATTTCATATTGTTAAGTCACAGAGTTACAAAAAACGATTTCCTTGTAGATTGAATGTGATTTTAGATTTCGGTTGCGCCTGGCAAATCCATTGTTTCGCGCTCTCTCGCCCGCTCTATATATATCTTTTTATAAATTATATATAGCGAGCTGTTTTGGTTTGGTATTCGATTTGTGCTGCATAATCAAGAAACCCAAATAAATACTATAAATTGCACCATTCGCAATAATAAAAAAAAAAGGAAAATAAATGAAAATGTGGAGCAGATACTCACACATACACGCACTCACACACACACACACGCACACACAAGAGTCGCGCGCGTATATTCAAAAATTGAACAAAAAAAAATTGTTAAACGTCTCGCGAGGGCGCGACGTCTGCTGCTGCTGCTACTGCTGCTTGTGGCAGTGGCACGTCCGGTGTACGCGACGAGAAATTGCACAATGATTCAGAAGTCCAACAGGCGCCGGCAGCCCGCTATACGCTAGCCGATCTTACAGTTAGCTGCCTAGCAGCAGCAGCAACGGCAGCGGCAGCGGCAGCGACAGCGACGCATCGCGTCGCTCTGCTTTGTATCTGGCAGATACGCAACAGCAAGCAGACAACGGCGCTCTGCCGCTCTCAATTACGCGCGCTCTCACACTCTATCCCTCTTGCTCTCACTTGCGCTCTCTCTTAGTTCGGCTCTCTCTATTTTCCCTTCTATGAATTTCCATTCGAAAAACTCTCTCCAATGCTCGCTCGCGCCGGCTCTCCTTTCGTTTCTGCCCGAGTGCTTGGCGCGTTTTACCCTGCGGCATAGACAAAACAACAACACAAACAAAATCCAATAAGAATGGTGGATGCTAGAATGTCTGAACTAATAGATATCCTGTACAAAAAATAGACAATAAAATGAACATACCTTTTACATTACTCTTGAATTAACAAGGAAATGTTAATGACAGAGTATTAGAGCAGAAACTTAATATGCCTTGGCTGAAACAACTGTGTTGGCGCCATATAGACCCAACTGTCCATGCGTGCATGTAGGGTATAACTTCGTCATAGGCCCATATGGAACATTTGTGTGTGACTGTTGCGCCAGAGACAGCAGGCGCTAGTATCGCATGCGAGCTTCTAATTGGAAAGCACTCAAATCAGAGCCGACTGATGTGCGATATGCATGACAATGGACAGTGGAGCATCGGAGCAGTAGAGCCAATGGGCACTCAAGGGTTTAGACACCAAACTATCCGTTCGACTTGGTGGCCCCTTTTTGGCTATTTTCGAGGTCGTCTTCCGTCTTGATGATGATGTCGCAAATTTCGCTAATTAGTCACGAAAAACTCGCAGCTCAAAATGGTCACAATGACCAAAATTGGCCAAGTGGCAAATGTGGCATAGAGAAGAAAAAAAAAACAGTAGCTAATGCCACAGAAATGAAAAGCAGCTTTAAAACATCTGCTACCATGTTTGACCTTTGACAATGGTTTTAAATTTAATCAATTGAAAAGAAAAATATATGTAGTAAATATAAAGAAAATATATCAATGAATGAATGTTTTTTTTTTATATTATGTTATTCTTATATTAGGAATTTTTATTTAATTGAACTTGCTTAAAAATTGTTGAATCTCTTGAGCTCCATATATAAGCTATTATAGAATACTTGATGATGAAATTTACGAATAATATATAATCGTAATATCATTAAATTTAATCTTGGCTTTAAAATATCAAACTGGATAGAGGCCATATGTTGCCTTATACGAGAATAGTTGCTTTTCTTTGAAAATGATTGCCCTCTCTGTCATTTAGAGTTGAGGTCGAGGCACGGATACATTTTTAATGGTATTTCGGGTTTTATTTTTACGTGATTTTTCTTTTTCCTTCCTTGATGTCTAGCACTTCCGATGGCATTAGCATTGGGCGACGCCGAGGGGTGTGTCGTAGTATCTGCCACATTTATGCAGCCGATTTAAGGCCTTTAATGACCTCCACTAATGATCGAAGCCGATTGACTCAACAGCTTCGATGGCATTTACCAATGGCTTCTATTTTTGGGGTCTTGTTTCAGGGCATATGCAAAAGGTGCTTTTTGAATTTATGTTATACACGTTCCATTAGTTTACCGCAACATATTTTATATGATAAACATACATTTTTGCGTTATCTTCATTGTTGAAGCAATTGTCATATTACTTATTTTTCTTAAATTAATTTTTTTATTTCTCTGTTTATTGTTTAAAATTTTTTTGTTTTTTAATTTTTAACGATTTTATTTAGAAATGAGATATTATTTTAATTTATTATATTATAAATCACAATCTAGAACCTATCAAGCCACAAATATATTAAATGCAGCATACGTTTAGGCTTTGCTTATTGTTTATTATCTATAATAATAATCTTTCAATATTTAACTCCTCTAGCGGTTTTCCAAATTAAATACTTTATATATGTATATATATATATATATATATATAAATAACATACACGCTTGAGAACGTGTTCTAGAACTGCACTCATATTCACAGAATGATTAAGGGCCTTGTACTAGTGTGCAGCCTGGAAGAAGCCTAGCTCAGTTTGTCCCTTTTGCGCTCGTGCAATCATGAAATTTTTTTTTTCCCCTTCTCTCTCTTTGCCAGCACTTACACTCTTTCCGTATGCAAGAAGTTAACCGCTACATGACGACATACGATATTCGCACATAGTTTTCAGTATGTGCACCAATATGCAGCGACGACGTCAGTCTCTCCCTCTCCCAGTTCTTACGCTCTCTTTACATTCAAGAATTATACCGTTACATGGGAACAGACACAAGGCGTGGGAATTTTGCAACGCGTGCCATGAAAATTTAGTGCTAGTTAAATTGGAGATCGGAACTAATCAAGATCTCCCTCAGACCCTGTGTAATATATAATAATATATAATAATATATATATTATATATATTTGTGTTTGTTATTCATGGATTTGCGTATTGTATTTCTATGTGTGTTCAATTTTATAACGGTAAGTAGCAAAATATGTGAATAAAAAATGTGTCCACTCTGACAGCTGTCCCTCTCTAACCAACGCACAGATTCATGGAGAGGTGCCCATTGACCTTAGGCCAGGAAATCCAGAAAAACTGATGCCCAGCGTATGCCGCAAGGATGTTAACGGTACCAGCTTGAGCGTAGAGATTCGTCTGCCGTTCATGGAGATGGAGCTGCACCACGAACGGCATCTGTTGGTGTTGCGGGCGCCGCAACTGCTGCTGGTGCTCCATGGCCACGAGCTGTTCCAGCTGCAACTGTCAGGCAAGGACAAGCGACTGCTGCGTCTGGGCGAGCTGGCGGGGCGTGTGCGGCAGCAGTTGGCCACAGCAGCCGCTGTTGTCCTCTGGCGAGAGTATCTATTGCTGGCCGTGGCGCTGCCGGAGTCACTGGAATTTTATCAACTGCCACAGCAAGCCATGCTGGATGCCCGGCAGCTGCAGTTCGAGCCCATTCAAGAGTTCGCCCTGGCTGGCAGCAGCCTGCAACAGCTTCATTTGCTGCAGCCAAATGCAGATCAGGTGCTGCTGCTGCTAACCTTCAATGTGTCCCACAGCCAGGCCAGATGCAGGTGGGATATGCACCCAGTTTTTACCTGTGCTATTCTCACTCAAACTTCCACAGAACCTACGAATGGCTGGAAACGTATTTCAATCCCGTGGAGGAGCTTAGCTTGCCGACCATTAAAGCCTTCCAGGTGGTGGGCCGTGAGCCCCATTACATAATCACGGGACGATCGCTGCGAGGACAAGCTAGGGTAAGCGCCGACAAAAATCTCGAATAGAGATATATTTCAATATGATTTTACCTTGATCCGCAGCTCGTGCTGTCCGTCTATGAGCTGGTTACACCAACATTGCGCCTGTTGCGCCGCCAGAGCCTCACGGTACAGGCGCGCCACGTGCTGGCCGTGCGTTTTCGTGGTCGCAATCTAATCTTCGCCTGCCCCAGCATCAGCAGCAGCAGCGGCGGCTCATGTATCCTCTTCCGCATGGTCGATGGCAACTTTGTGGTGTATCGGAAGCATGTGCTGCGACAGCTACAATTCAGTCACCTGGCCGCCTCCGAACAGGGCCAGCTGCTGGTGGGAGCACGTGCCAATGGCGAGATGCTGGTGTTCAATAGCCAACGCCTCGATTGCTACAGCGGCTTTGGAGCCGATGGCCAAGCGGCAGGCATTTACACCCATCGCAATCCACAGAACGAAAGCTTTGTACTCCTGATGTATCAACGGGATCCAAGCACCACGACGCTGCGCATGGTGCAGCTGGGCGGGACCAACGAGCCAGCCAGCCTGGCCGCCAATCTGGAAGGGAACGATGGTAAACTGCATGCCCGTCTTGGCTGGGTATCAATCCATATTCAAATGCTATTCCACAGATCTGAGCAGTGTGCAGCAACATCGTCACGAGTTCGAGCAGGCAATCCATGGACTGCGCAGTCGGCTGCTGCGTCGCAAGCAACAAGTGGATGCACTGCATCAGCTGATGCAATCACTGATGCTGCATCAGCCGCAGTTCAATCAGACCCAACCATTGCACGTCCAGAGCGGCTCACGCATTGAGCTGGTGCAGCTGCATGGTAATCATCTGGCCAGCCCCGTGCAGCTGCAGCAGCGAGTGGAGCAACTGCGTCATCAATATGCGCACAGGCGCAACAGGCGCTCCTTTGGTGTGGGCAATGCATCCTATGCGGGCACACTGGATACGCTCAAGGCGAAACGTTTGCATGTCCAGAATCTTATCTACCACGGGGAACTGCTGCCAGGTGAGACTGAAATCTTCCTCCGATTGAATTAATAGCATTGACAGTCTACTCTTGGCATATTTTTAGGCTACTCTGTGGAGTCTGCCGAACCGCCGGCCATACTTAGCATCAAGGGACAGCTGCTCACCAAGCAGCTCCACACACAGGAGCTACTCATTCCACCCAGCAGCAAGCAGCAGCCAGAGCGCACACCGGCTAACCATATGGTGGTGCGACATCTCCAAGTGGAGCGCATCAACAATGTCTCCTGGTTTGACTTTTACGACTCGCTCTTCCTGAAAACGCGCGACAACAAGGTCGAGGGTCGTCTTGTCTTCCAGCTGCGCGCTCGCGTTGTCAATCTTCAGACTCCGCTGCTGAATGGGCTGGTGGTGCAGCAGCTCTTCAATTTGCGTCAGCCCCAGGTGGTGGCCTCCAATATATTCATGTCCGCCTTCTATGCGCCCAAGCTCGATGCCAAGCTCGTTAACGGCCTCAACTTTGCCGAGGATATTGTGTTCCGCGGCGACAGGAATACCCTCATTAAAAGTGAGTAACATTGGATATTTCACTGTCACTTGATTCGGCAGCGTTCGATCTTTAAGAGATCCCTTCAAAACCAACTCGAAGTCGATATCTAAATATCCAACCAATAGAACAAAAGTAACATCGTGACAGAGTCCCAATTTTTGCCATAAATTGATTCAAATTCGAAATCGCACATTTTCGAATTTTGATTTGAGCTCAAGACGGTCTAAATACTTCTGGATGCTGAATATAAAATGACTTTTCATGAAAAGCATGATATATATATATATATATATTCAGTAACTGTAAATAGATTGACCCTAGTTTGACTAATGAAATGTTAGATAAGATTATGGCTGACTGAACCACATTTACTGCTCCTACAGCGCCCGTTCGCATCTACCAGATGAGCGTCTCGGGCGATATTCTGGTCGCAAACATGACCAAGTGGGCACGTCAAATGCCAGCCGAGGGTCCACATCAATCCTCCAATCTACAGCAGTATTATATGGGCAGGATCACGGTGAACGGCTCTATCACGGTGAACAATTTGCTGGCGGACACGCAGGAAACGCGCATGATGCTATTGGGACAATCTCTGCGTGCACAAGACTTGCACACGGACTATCTATTGCTGAATAAATCGCAGGTTAGTAATATAAGGAATGTTGATCAGTTGGGAACTGAATTAAGCAGCCAATCAATCATCCAATCAATCAATATGATTTAGCAGTCAATCGCCTCTCAAGTCATACGGTGAATCAGTCAGTCAATCAAATGATCAGTCAGTCAATAAGTCAATCAATCATTCGGTCGGTTAATCAATCTTTCAGTTAATCAATCAATCAATCATAGTTTCAGTTAATCCATGAGTCAGTTTATCAATCACTCACAAATTGAGTGTCGTCAATCAATCAGCCATTCGGTCTATAAGTCAATCAATCTGTTTGTCAATCAGTCGATCAGTCAATTAGACAATCAGTTAATCAGTAAACCAATCAGTCGATTAGTCCATCAATCATTGATTCAGTCAATCAATCAATCAATCTGTTAGTCCATCAAGCAGTCAGTCAATCAGTCTTGCATCAGCAAGTCTAACGATCTATCAGTAAATCAGTCAGTCAATCAATCATTCATACATCAGTTAGTCAATGGGTCTATCAGTCATGAAGTCAGTCAATCAGTCAGTCAATCAAATAATCAATCATTTATTTATCAGCCACTCAGTCAATCAATTAGCCAATCAGTCAATCAATCAATCATTCAATCAATCATTCAATCAATCATTCAATCAATCATTCAGTCAATCAAAAGTTCACCTCCCTTTCCATAGGACCTACAAAAACTGGTATTTGGCAATGCCAAGGTGACAACAGGCGCCTTGAGCACTCAGCATATCAATGGACATCCAACGGCTGAGCATCTGCTCAGCGGTGCAGAAGATGATCCCGTGGCACGAGCATCCAGAAAGCCGTCTCATCTGATCTTCATGAATGCCCGGATAGATGGGAATGTCTACTGCGGCAATTACAGCAGCCGGCTGGCTCAGCTGGCCACAGACGCAGTGCGCCAGGGCGAGACGGCCAGCATAACGGGCAGCAAGCGATTCGAGGCGCCACTGGAGCTGGACACGCTATCTAGCCAGGTGCTCAATGGACTGCCCGTCTCCGAGCTGGTGCTGAAGGGGCAGCTCGCGCAGAATTTCACCAGCCTCAAGTACTTTCCACGCATTGTGGTCAAGAGTCACGTGGAGATTGCCGGCAATTTGTCCGCCCAGCGTCTGAACCATTTGAAACTGTCGCAGCTGCTGCAGCCGGCTTATGGTCTGCAGCGCCTAGAGCTGACGGAAAGGCCCAATTTGCAGAGCCTGATCTTTCAGCGACTCAACGGCCTGGCCTTCGACGAGCTGCTCGGCAAGATGAGCGTGCCCAGCGGGCAGCAGGATCGCGGGCCGCAGCCACCACTCCTGCTGCACAAGCAGCTCATCATCGAGGGCAACGTGCGCTTCGATCGGCCGCTCCAGCTGCAGACTCTCAATGGCATCCACTGGGATGAGTATGTGAGCCGTTTGGTTGGCGCGAATGCCAACAGCGTCATCGCCGGCCAGAAGCACTTCCAGGAGCAGGTGCTGATTACGGATGCGCTGCAAGCGCCGAGCCTGAATGGCCTTGACCTGTCCGCTCTGCTAGAGGACACGCTGCTGCGCACCACGCCCCAATCGATTGGCGGCATCTACAGCTTCGATCGGCTGACGGCCAGCAACGTGGATGTGGGTCAGGTGAATGGTGTGCCAGCGAGCAGCTTTGTGGATCTGCGCCAGGAAGCATTGCAACTGCAGGGTGATCTCTATGTCAGCCAGCTGCAGATCAATGGCAGCCTAAGCTGTGAGCTGGTCAATGATCCGCAACTGCCACAACTGGAGCAGAAGCTGACGGCGTTGCAGCAGCGCAGCTGGCGTCGTCTAACGGTGCTGGGCGATGCTCTGTGGAATGGAGAGAATGCCTCCAATCCGCAGCTGGACTATCTGCGTCGGCATGCGGTGCGTCGTCGCGGCAAGCAAACCATCTCCGGACATGTCATCCTACAGCAGCCGCATCTTGGCCAGCTGCTGACCAGCCAAAGTTTTCCCAGCCAGCTCAATCTCAGTCACATAGCCGAGGATGCGCTGCTGCGAAATGCACCAAGCACACAGCTGGTGAAGGCGCCGCAGATGCTGCTGCAGGCGGTGCGCGCACGCTCCATCAACCTGCTGAGCGATGGCCAGTTCGAGCTGCTAAATCACATCGATCTGCGCCGGCTGAATGCCTCGCTCTATCGACGCTCCAGCGGACAGCCAATAGGAGCACAACTTCACTTCCAACTGCCGCCGGATATAGAGGAGCTGCAAGTCCAAGGACAGCTCAATGGCGGCCATGTGGCGAGCATCTTCGAGCAGGCAGCAGATGTTGTGTGGCCGCCCGTTCGTATGGAGCGATTGCAATTGGAACAGCAGCTGCAGCTGGACGAGATCAATGGCATGAGTCTGGAGTACCTGCTGGAGCAGCGCGTGCCACTTCATGGCGCCTCCTTGGAGCACTTTGGCGCACTTCAATTCGAGCAGCTGGAGCTGGGCGAGCGCTGCCTGCTGCGCACCATCAACGGGATTCCTTTGCAGAATGTCGTCTACCGACATGGCCAGCGGCCGCAGTTGATTAGCGGCCCGAAGACCTTCGCCAGCGGCATACGCCTCGAGGGCCCCACCCATATTATGCGGCTCAATGGCCGCGATCTCAGCGAGAGCTATCAGCAGAGCATCTACACAGATCGCGATTACAGCATCGATAGCTTAGTGCTGGATGACGCGCGCTTCGAGGGCGGCCTGCTCGTGGATGCGTCCATAAGTGAAGCGCGAGAAGCGCGCCTGGAGACGCAGCCCCAGAACGTTGCACGCCAGCAGCTGCGTCAGCGTCTGCTCCAGTTGGAGCAGCAGCTACAGCAGCAACGTGCCAATCGCAGCCAGCGCCTGCTCTATCTGGACTACGAACAGCCGCCGCTCGAGCTGACTTGGAGTGAGCCCACAGCGGATGAGTTGCTCGAGCTGGCAGTGGCGCCACAAGCGGCACAGCCGACTGGCATCTGCCACCTGCAGCAGCTGCAGGCCCAGTTCTCCAGGCAACTGCAGCGCGTGCACTTGAGCAACGTCAGCCTGGCCAGCCACCTGCTGCGCGCCAGCTCCGACCGGGCTGCCATACGGGTCAAGGCGCAGAACTATTGCCAACAGCAGCAGCCGATGGCACAGTTTCGGGCGCGCATGCACATCAGCTGCCGTGGCCACGCCCACACGCTGGGTCTGCGCCAGCACGTGGAGCAGCTGCAGCTGCACGATCAGCAGGACTACAGCCTGCTCTTGATCAGCAGCCCGGACGAGGTGCGCGTGCTGCGCGTGAATCATACGAATTGCAGCCTCAGCGATTGGCAATCGGTGCAGCCCGCCGCCGCCGGCCGCCTGATGAAGCTCATCCAGCTGGAGGACAAGGAGAGTGGCCGCCCGTTAACTCTGCTGCTGACGAATGGACTGCAGCACTTGGAGCATCTGCCGGTGCTGGCAGTGCATCGCCTGGACGCACAGAGCCAGCGCTTCGAGCTGTTGCAGCACATCGAGGGCGACTACGATCTGGCCGAGCTGCAGTCGGAGCAGCTGCTGCTCAGCTGCTACAGCTGTCGGCACATCTCCATTTATAGCTTTCAGCAGAAGAGTCAACAGTTTGCGCCGCTCCAGCAGCTGCACTTGGCCGCACGCATCCAGCAGCTGCTGACCTTTGCCGTTGCCCAGGAGCGACATTTGCTGGTGCTGACTCTGCCCGGCTCCAAGCACTTCCATCTCTTCAGCTACGCCCACATCGAGGGCTGGCAGCAGCGCACCTATGGCCACATGGCCGACTTCCAATGGTCCTGGCCACTGATCCGCTCCGGCCAGCAGCTAACCAGCTCCACGTCCGTGCTGCTGCTCTGCGGGCAACGCTTCTGCAGCCTGGTCACAGCTCTGCTCGATTAGCATCGATTCCATGCCTTGTCTCGTCAGCTCAGACTGTTATCAGGGGCATTCCTTGCATTACTCTTTGTTTGTTTCAAATGTTATTAATTGTTAATTGTTACTAAATTACTAATATATATATATACTATATATATTTATATATACTTATACCTTTTATTGATAAGAGAGTTTACTTTGTTATCCCTTATGTTGCCTAAAACAATATTCTATATTGCAAGAATACCTCTAATGCACGCTATATATGTTAAAATCTAAATATTAAAAATTATTAACAAACATTTAGACTGCAACTCATTTACAGCTTGCATTAGACGTATTCCCGTAGTATATAATAATGATAAAAAAAAAAATATATATATATATATATATATTTTTTTTTATATATATATATAAATATTTTTTTTATATATATATATATTTTTCCCTCTTACGAATTTTGTAAGATTACAGCTCACTTTTTGCTGGAATATCCCTTATAAATGCACATTTATTTATTACAGGAACTCCCCTAATACACACCTCTCTACTTAAACTTACAAAAATATTTATTAAATACTCAAATACTTCTATCAACCTGTTGTACTAACGTCTTTATGTATATACTAACAGCATACCCTTAATGCATATATAAACAAAATTATCAAGCTTCAATCAATCATTCAAAATGTACTGTAATTAGTCAATTGTTTATTCTACTTATAAAAATTCTAAAAAAAAATAAAAAAAATATTTACATAAAGTCAAAATAAAATTATAAAATATATATAAAACATATATTCAGAAATAATTTTTTCTATGGTTATTCTAGGGCATACCCCTAATAGCAATTATCACATTTTCCTAGAAGCTTACGTTTCCCGTTTAGCGTAAGCTGTAGCCATGCTGCTCTACTGTACAGTAGAGCCTAGGTGCTGAGCCCCTTGCAGCTGCACTTGATCACATAGATCGTAAAGGCCAACAGGCCCAGAATGCCCCAAACGGAGCTATTGTGATTGGAGCCGTCGCCAATTTGGGCTCGGATCCAGTCGAGGTGGCTGGCGACATCGACAAAGACGGACGACTGGCTGCGCAGGCCGAGCAGCTGATTGGATGTGGTCAGCGGAGCGCCTGCGTCGAGCTCATAGGTCTGCTCGTCGTACTTCACGCACAGCTGTTGGCCGCAGGGTGAGCGCGTGACGCGCAGCCGCAGCAATTCGTGCAGCTCGCGGCCATCCTCGCCAGCCAAGCCCCAGCTACTGATGTGCCACGGCTCCGATGTCCGCTCCAAGTGCTCTGCGTCCACGGGCAGCGCAATGGGCCGAATGCGCGTGAGATGCGCGCCAATATCCTGTTCGAGCATGAGGATGGCAAGGGACAGCTGTTTGGGCGGCTTGTAGACATGGGTCACGCCCAACACCTGACCATGAGCCGTCGGCGAAAAGCGCTGCGTGCTGCCCAGGACTACGCGCAGCTCCGCTGGATGGTAGAATCGCATGTTGTCCTGACTAAAAATAGCAAAGGATTAGCTTGACTGCAATGCGCATTGCCAGCTGTGCACCTACTCGTAGACGCACTGGGCCACGGTCAGCACCACGGAGGGGGCCACCAGTGCACCCGAGCAGATGTGGCCCTTGCCAAAGTAGTCCAGCTCCTGATCTAGCAGACGTATCGAGGCCTGGTACGGTGCTGCCGATGCGGACGATCCAATGCTGCGCTTTTTAGCCAGCTCCGAGTGCGTGAAGGCTAAGAGAGGAAGAAGACGAAGCAAAGGAATACATCAGTGGGGCTAAGCTGAAGAAATACGACCTAACCTCAGAGCCACCACCACCATCTGTAGTTGACCTTGGCGATCAAGTCCATCAATCGATCTCTCTATCTACCTGAAGTCTTGCACTATCAAGTGAAAGCAACGCTTGCTAACTGATTATCGAATTGGCCTTGGCAACAGGTGAAATGCATTTTGTATGGTGTGATCCATGGGCCAGGGCTTATCAATGTCAATGCGAACGACTCAGGCGCATTCCCCAATCAGCTGATCGTTTGTTTACCAATTCTTGTTGTTGCTCCAGCCATTTGGCTGGGGAATTGGTATTATCGCACGATAGTAAGGCGCGTGTTTTACGGCCGCGTCTATCAACAGTTGTTGGCCAGCAAAGACGACGGAAGCTACGCAGTTTGGCCTTGCTGCTACAAATCCCTCGCAGTCAAAACAAAACAGAGCAGCAGCCGTCACAGCTCAGCTTGGCCATAAAATCGAATTGCAAATTTATCTAATCATAGTTTGTGCCAACTTTTGGCCATTTCAATCTATTTTAATTAAAATTTATCTCAAAATTAGCCATAGATAAAAACTCTCCCAAATAAAGTAATTAGTATCGAGTCTTCTAGAATAAATATTTTAACTAAGTCTATCGAATATACATAATATAAAATGCTAATAGATTAATTTCCATTTGTTCTACACAGTATATTTCTAATACCTGAGTGATCCTCTAGCCTCTAGACACTATTTGTGCTCAACATTGCATCATCTGGAATATCCAATCTCAACTACAAAATTCTAGTTAAGTTTCCCTGCTTCAAATGCAACTCAAACTTGAAGCAATTCACAGCAAACTATATAATATATATAGAGTTCAAGTTAAGAAATCTATTTTATAGCACTCTATATATATTATTTATATATTTTTATATATTATATATATTTATATATATTTTAAGTTTCGACTTACTCGTTTGCATTTCGGCGCATAGAAATGCAAAAATCATTATTTTTATAATCCTCTTGATATAATCGTTGAGCTGCATCGTTCACTAGTAGTCGAACCAGGATCGAGGATTATTACTGTAACGGTGGGGCTGGGCCTTCGGGTCGATAGTGCGCACCTTTAGAGAGAGCCGAACGTTGAATGAAATAATTCAATTCTAAATCGCACGAAAGCAAATTCGCAAACGCTTTTCCCCCAGATAATTCAATTTTGAATCGATTTCGGTCGCTGTTTACGTCGATACCCTACCAAAAGGTTGCTCACGCTTGCTCGTGGGCTGTGCTGATCTGGTTTCATATCAACTGTCGAGTGGCTATTGAAATGCCAGCTATCTTCACAAGAGTTTGCCATGGATCTTTCTAGGAGTTACGGATTATACAATGGTAGGCGAGATGGAAGCATTATTTATCGCTCGCTCTCTTTCTTCCATACTTACTCTCTTTCTTCCCCATTCAGCCTTTCTCTCTCTCTCGTACCCTCTCACTCTCTCTCTCGATGTTTCTCTCACTCTCTCTCGCCCTCTCTCTCTCTCGCCCTATCTCTCTCACTCTCTCTCTCTCTCTCTCTCTCAGTCTCTCTCTCTCTCTCTCTCTCTCTCTCAGTCTCTCTCTCTCTCTCTCTCTCACTCTCTCTCTCCCTCTCTCTCGCCCCTCTCTCTCTCTCTCTCTCTCTGTGATGGAAACAAACATTAAGTAACGAAGCAATGAAATCTTAGAGTATTGCAACTTCCTTACATAAGAGTTAGGCATTCCTTCTAGTTTTTTTTTTTTTAATGTACTGATAAAGTCACAACATGCCATAAAACCACATCATAGAAATACACACACACACACACACACACACTTACACATAGACGCAATAATAATCGCTATTGATAAGACGTCAGATTATTTATTATTATTTTCTTTTTTTGTTTTCTTCGATTTTGATTTTGTTTATTTTTCTATTTATTTTTAAATCGTGACGACTGCACTTGACTAACAACTTTTGATATCCTGTACTTATGTTTAGCCTAAGTAAATCTATTTACTGAGAGAACATTGGATAAGGCTTAATGTAAGCCCAAGCTTAGCATCTAAATCCACTTCTAATAGCAACTTTTAGGCTTAACAGTCACTTAACAGTCACTTAACAGCTCTACATTAACAGCTCCTTAACATATCTGTGCTAGGCCACAGTTGGAATGCCAAAGATTGATCAACGCCTCGACACTTAGAGAACATAAAAACCCCATTCGCTTACCTGCCACTTCCTCATGGTAATCTTGAAATAGAACTCACCTATGAAACTGGGTCTAAGGTGACTGACAGACCAGACGATTACATAGCAGAATTGCATTCCACAAGCGATGGTCGATCGTTGATAAGAATCAGGAAATGCTCAGAGGAGCAGGCGGTAGCAGAGCATGGACCAGGTAATACCATGCACTATAAATATAAATATTGAAAGTATGAGAAGAAAAACTTCATGCATGTATTTATTGCGAGCAAATACAAAATACTACAAAGATCTAAATATGAAAATGTACAGATGCCTCGTGAATATTCAATATGTTGATTATGAGCTTAAGTGCGTTTCCTCGTTTCAATCACTTAAAATTAAGTGAAATAAACCCTACCTAGGATAGCTCCGAATGCAATGGATTTTGCGGCTTCGTCACACACTGATAAAGAGTAAACAATATGTAAAAAAAAAAACCGGTCCGCACCTCCTCTTGGATGCCGGAGAGTTCAAAAAGTAGGAACGGAATGGACTCTGCACCAATGCAAGAGGCCGTCCGTGCCGCGGATTTTTAGAGGCGGCATAGACTCAGCATGACTAAGACAGACACATGCATGCGAAACGCTTCGAAATTGTTGCCACTCGCGGAGAGCATGCCACCTTGACTGAGCTCGTACTCAATGTCCAAGTCATCACTAGTCTCGAAATCCGTGCCCCGCTCAGCTTTTTCGGCAAAGTCAACCTGCTTGCCCCGTCGCTGCTCATGCATATCGGAACGCTTGATGGTCTCGTCTATCCAAGATTTGTAGAACTGCACACTGGTGTAGACGCCGAAGCGGCCCGGCACGCCGCATCGTATGCCCCACGAGCTGATGCCCACCAGCTGCCCTTGGCAGACCAGTGGGCCGCCGCCATCTGCCGTGCAAGGCTCCAGCTGGCGCTCGTTCGCGTTCTGGGCACACATCATGCCCGGCAAGAGCGCCTGCTGGCTCACCTGGCATAGCTGCCGCTCAGCCAGAGTCACATTCACGCTGACCAACTGGCCGAGGAAGTACTCGATCTGATTGTTGTTCCACGCGGATATCTGGCAGCTGGTCAGCGGAGGAAACGTGGCCTTGGCCAGCTGAACGGGCTGCACAAACGGCGGCACCCTCCCGCTGAGTATAATCAAAGCGATGTCCTTCTCATAAGTATTCATATCGAACCGCTTCGCCTGCACCAGCACCGTGTGCAGACCAAAGAACAGCGTGTTCTCGTTGATCATCAGGTGTTGCTTGTTGCCCAGCGCGACGACGAAGCTCGACTTGTTCAGAAAAGTGCCATCAAAACGCGTTTGACTGTAAGACACAAGGCGCAATTAGGAGCCGAACTGTAGCTGCTGTCGATGCATCTCGATCACCTACTCCACGAAACAATGCGCAGCTGTTAGCACCACGCTGTGGCTGATGAGCGAGCCACCGCAGACATGACCGGCGCCATGGCGAGTGGCGTCCTTTTGCTGCTGTCGCAAGGACACATAATAATCGCTGTATAACGACCTTTCCACATCCCAATTGAGATCCTGCTTCAGCTGCTCCTCCTCCATAGATAATTTTGTTGTCTGCGCCGCCTCGGACATGCCCATCGAGCTCCAGAGCACCATGAGCAGCAGCAGAAACGCATGCATCTTACCTTCCCAAACCAAATAAATTTTAAAATAACACAATTTAAGTGTTTTTCATGCAGCCAAATAGTTTTTAAATAGATTCTCCATACACAAAACTCAAGGCTAAACGGAAAACCGGACGGGCAACCAGTTGAGCTGGGCAACTGTATACAGTGAAGCCACTTGAATAGGCGGAAGAAGGCGTGGCAGACGACAGCCTGGCGCAGCAAAGACTTCACATATGTTCCTGTCATACTTATCGAATAACTATCGAACTATCGAACTATCGATCTGTTTCCTTAGTCTACTGAAGCAACCCGAAATTATGCAGCCAGAGTTCAGGGTGTCTCCAAGTCGCGCACTCCCGACTAACGCACTTCAAGCTTAGACTTAGAGCTTTGACTTCCTCTACGTCCATGTTTTCCTATTTGGAAAATCTATTGAAAACCTTGGCCCAAGGCATGAAATACTCTAGGATAGATCCGTCCCTTAAGTTCACATTCTTAGAGCTGTTTCAAACTTAGAAACAAACTGTACTTAAGGCACATGAAGATTAACCCTAAGATTAACTAAAACCAAAAATTCCAATTGATTATTTGGTCTAATGTTTTTAGAGCAGTCTCAACTGTTGTTTTATTGAGCTCGTCTTAAGGACTAGGCTTATAACTAAGAAATGTGGCTTAGGCCGAGCAGCACAGGCACTGCAATGCTCAAGCCAAAAGAAAATGTAATCAGTCCAACGCCATCGTCGCCTCCATCTCCACTGCCACTTCCATCTCCACTGCCACTGCCATCTCCACTTCCATCTCCACTGCCGCTGCCATCTCCACTGCCACTGCCATCTCCGCTGCCATCACCGCTGCCTAGCTCAGAGATTTGCTCGATTATCCAGTCGTAGTAGTAGGAGACATCGGTGTAAACACCTGGAAACATGGGCTTGGCACAGCCGATGCCCCAGGAGACAATGCCCGCCAGTTGGCTCTGGCAGACGAGCGGTCCGCCGGAGTCACCGCTGCAGGCATCACGCTCTCCTTCCATATAGCCGGCACAGATCATGCCCGGCAGTATCAAGTGACCCAGACCGCTTTCGTTGATGCACTGCGTCTCGCTGATCATGGGCACATCGAGTGTCATAAGGATATCCGAGTTGTAGCCCTGCTCGGTGTAGCCCCATCCAGTTACCTGGCAAATAGTTTCCCCTGGTACAGTTAAAGCACTCAGTCCAATGGGCCGTATCGTGGGATGATTGGCGGGCACGGACCCACTGAGGATTAGCAGCGCAATGTCCTTGTCGTATGTGGACAAATCGAAGATTTTCAGCTGCAAGATCAGCCGCTCAATGTCAAAGGTCAGCGTGTTGGTCTTGTCGAAACGATCCAAATTGCCCATGACCACAATGAAGTCCTCTTTGGGCACGAAGGTGCCGTCGTAGATGATTTGGCTATACAAAGGAACGGAAGGGTCAATTAATGAGATCAACGTGACTTGACCTATCTATTCGATCGGTCTTGTCGGTTATGAATAACCAATATGAGAATCAGGAAGCAGATCTCTCAGCTTGAAGCTAACAGCAACCAAGAGCTGGAATGATCAACTATTGGTTTTGGTAACAAGCTGATCGCACTTACTCCACAAAGCAATGGGCAGCGCCGAGCACGACATTGGGCTTGATCAGGGAGCCGCCGCAAATGTGGCCAGTGCCAAAGAAGTAGCCATCGTTGAGGCGACGCCGTAGGCTGACCTGGTGCCGGGTGGCCTCCATGGTGGCCTCGGTGCCATTGATAATTCGGCTCGAATCCTCGCTGAATCTGGGACGTATGAGCTGTGAGCTAAGTCCAGCGCCTAGGCAAGAGCAAGAGAGATGAACAATGATGGATTTCAAGCAGATCAGGCATACCATTCGCTGTCAGACAGACGCTGAAAAGCACTACCAAACAGATCGTCGCTAGTCGTTTGGCAGCCATGTGGAGTCTTCGTAGTTCCGTAGCAAACTGACAAAGCGCGGACAATCGTGTCTAAAAACAATTGGTCATCGATCGCTAGTCGCTCGATATCGCCACAATTAAATCTGCCGATAAAGAGCGACATAATCTAATCAGAACCGTGCCATGGCTAAGGGGTGTGATAGGCTGTCTTGATAAACTCTTTGCCTTTACTCACTCTAGAATTACTGAATGGATTTTCCCCAATGAGCTGGCCTATCAATGGGTTTAACACACACTCAATGTAGATTTACAACTCCAAGCTCAAGGGAAGAGAGCGAAAGGTCCATTCAATAATGCAACTGACTGCAACTATAATAACGTCTCATATCATGAGTTTGCCAACATTGTCTTAGTTCGGGCGTACCTCCGAACTAAGACAATGTTAGCAAACTCATGATATGAGACGTTATTATATATGATATATGATATCTAATGTATCCTGTTTGAGCTAATCAGACAAAGATAATAGGGTAATCATAAATCATAATCATAATCATAAGATAATAGACTTGACTAATAGTAATGTAAGTACTTTCCTTTTGACGCACCTCTTTCTAGGGTATTAGATAAGCAGACAACATTTTTGAAAGATTTTGCACTTGTCTTAAAATTCCAGGAAATGCTTGTCTATTTTTATTCCTTAATATTTCAATTAAAATTAAGACAAAAACAATAAATAACTAAATAGTTGTAAAAAAAATAAAGAAACCCTCCACTGATTAGGGGCCACGTGTTGAGAGTGAAGAGCAAAGCAAACAGCATGCACATAACTACAGAGTCAAGCACAAATACACACACCTACATATCGAAATAGTAACGTCCTAACAAAAACAGTTTGCATCTGGCCACAGCTTGCTCGAGGTGTCACAACTTCACTGAAGTAGAAGCTGGAAGCAGAAGGCAAAGTTAAGCAGAAGCTATAAAACATAGTTGGTATTTCGATCTCACTCGAACTCATTGAACAATCAAAAGTGTTTAAATTTAAATCGAATATACACATATATGGAATATATAGAAATATAATACAAATTGCTGCATATACTATGAATTTTACTTTCATTTAAAAATTGTGTTAAAATATCTTATCTAAGTTTATATGGCCTTAATTATAATATATATAAAAACTGAAGAACATACTATTTAAATATGCATATACAATATAATTTACTAATTCAGATCAATAGATCCTTAAGACACGTGTAAACAATTTGTTTACGTTGCCTCAGCTATTTACATGCAATTATATCATAAAATAATATTTGTATAAATTAGTATTTAGTCTAAAGATAAACAAATTTACAATCAGTTAAAAATATTGCATTAACCAGACACTTGACTGTAGTTTAGAGAGAGAGAGAGAGAGGAATAAGAGCTTAACATATTGCCGTCTTTATCGCTTTGAAGTGACTTGATGTTCTTTGAGAATTTTATTCGTTTCCTCCGCTGTACGATTGATCAACTGCATTATTTCATCCAACTCTGTTTTGGGCGCTTCCATGACTGGACTTGGCTCCTGCTTGATCGCGGCCATTGTTGATTCAACTTCAATCTGGACTGGATCGGCTTGGATTTGGCCAAACGTCGCATCCAATTCGGATTCCTGACTTTCACTGCTCTTATATTGGAGCTGTGGCACACGCCGACGCTGCAGCACCTTGCGTTCCAAATGTTGCTTACTCGTTTCCATTGCCTTGCGCTTTCTGCAACCAAAATGGACATTAAATGCGTTTGATTTTTAATTTGAATTCAATTTCTGTTGGCAAACCTGTTGCGTGGACTTAAGCATTTGGCAGCTGCATAGCTGGAGCTGCCCACTGATTCGCTTTTGACTGTGGACGTGGCCGCTGGCTCATCATCTAACGTTTTGTCAAGTGGCTCGTAGGCGGCAACAGCTGACATCAGCTGTTTGTTCTGCGCATGGAACGCCTCCACATCAAAGGGTTCCGTTGCGACAGTAGCTAAATGAGATAGAAAAACAGGATATTTATAGCTAACGTCAATGCACAGGCCTTGTGCCTTACTTCTCCAATGGCGAGCGCCATCCAGGCGATATTGTTGCACTTCTATATCCTTCTTTTTAACAACGTCCAACAAGTACTGCTGATTTTTGCTTAGACAACTGGCTATATGCAGCGCATTCCTCAGCATCTGACGATAGAACTGCAAGAATTAAAGATTTAATATAATTATCGATATAAATAAACGTTTTACCGAGACTACATACGATCAGTATAGCACTGTTCGTGGACGTTAAGTGCCACTCCCATTTAAGTGGCGCCGGCGTCCCTTCAATGCGATACTTTAAGCTAAGCACAGTATGCTGCTCCAGCTGCTCTTCTTGATTCAGCTCCTGCTCCAGTTCAGTACCTTTCTGCGAATCAGTTCGCAATGTGGCCACTGTTGGCTGGGCACTACTCAAAGCCGCGCGCACGGCTTTTGCAGGAAATTCCACACGTTTGTTCAATTGCTATCGTAAGCATTTGATACAGTTAATCATTTCATCATTGATCCATCGGTCAAGTAGCAGCTCACCTTAATGCGTTGCAGAAACTCAGACACAGGCAAGTTTTCGGTGTAGCTTAGTTCCTTACGTTGATCGTGGCAGTAAAACTGCAGCACTGTGTCCTCATCGGCGCTAATTAAGCAGCTCTTTAAATGAACATCGCTTAACTCAATTATATTTAACTGCATATTTTACAATAATAAAAAAATAAATAAAATAACTTGTAAAAAAAACTATATAGAAGACAACAGCAACAGCTGATGGCTAACAGCACTCAGTCTTCCGGCTCGCGCCAATCGACGCCCTCAACTGGAACCGGTTCCGAAATGTTAAATGAACGTGAACTTGTCGATAACTGTATGACAGGGAAAGACTGCGCGCCAAATTTAAAATGTAATTTGAAAATGTTAAGAGAATGAAAATATTTATATGTGCTCACGTGATAGCTGTGGCAGCGCTTCCATTTTTTTAGCTTTGTAAATCAAACGACAATTTTTGCATATTTCATGTGATTTTGTTTTAATCATATAAAGTTTATATGTAATACTTTTTGTTTTTTGTAATATTATCAAAAAATTGTTGTGTACTTTCGTTATTTTTTTAATTCAACTTTTTTTGTTTAGTTTTTGTTTTTGTTTTTGTATCCCCATTAAGTTATAGTTTTGAAAAACTAATTTAAATTGTATTTAAATTTTACTACTGACCAAAAATAGCTACTTCATTCACATTGAATGCTAGATAATACCAATCTAATACAATACACTTTATATATATATATATGTTAAATATATATATATGTATATATATATATATTAAAACAGTTTTGTAACATGCAGAAAATGATGAGGAAATCTTAAAATATTTTCTTCATTTTTTTTAGTTTTTGTTTTTTTTTTCTTTTTTTTGATTATCTTAAACTAGCCTCACGCTTAACTTAACTGTCTTTTTGTTGAATGTTTTTTGTTGTTTGTTTGTTTTGTGGGTATATAGACCATAAATATGTTAGCCTAACGAAATTGTGCTTAACACTAAGTTTAGATCAATCTGGGTCGACGTTTGAGATTTTTCAACATTTTCGTTGGCTTTCATATCTGCGGACGCGTCCAGAGTTCGCTGAGATCCTTTTGCCGCAGCTTGCCCAGCTCTGCAAAGGCGACAGATTTAGAGTTTATCATTTGGAAAATGTGCAATATGGATGAATGATGAGAATTTGCTTACCCAGTTGGGTGGGTAAAACGCTGCTGCTACGGAAACTCAGATCGAACCGCGGCTGCACCGACAGCTGGCTGCCTGCGGAGGAGGCGACGGAATTGCGAAAAGTGGTGCCGCTGTCGTGGCAAAGTTTTATACATAAATCTAAAAATAGTCCCGCATATAAGACCTACCTATACGGATGCTTTAGACAGCCGTAGACCTCGCGATAGCGACCGTAGAGCGTGCCATAGGAGACGCCCAAGATGCGAGCCGCCTTCTTCATTTCAAGTCTTTTGTTTTTGATGGCATCGAGTACCTGCAAAAGATGCCGAATTAGCCAAGCTTAGGCACATGGACAGTCCGCTGCACTCACGCGCTTGGTGAATGGCTCCTCCCAGAACTGTGGACGTCGCCCCTTGGCCAAATAATCGTCCATTTTGATAACATCCTGCCATTGGGTGAGCTCCTCATTGGTTAGCCGCAATTCGGCGGCATCGTAATCCTCCAGCTTGACCTCGGCATAGTCGCCGCCATGCTCGACGGCACTCGCTGTTGCATTGCTGTTGCCACCGCCATTGGCTGTGGCAACGGCAACAGCTGCCGCCGCTGCTGCAGCCGCAACTGCGGCACTGGCCACAGCATTGGGCGCAAAATCGTGGGCCATTAGCATGCCATGATCGTTGATCAAGTATTTGCCACCGAAGCTGGCAGCTGGCAGCAGGGCCGGCGACTCGGCTCGATTTGCCACCAAATGCTCATTCTCAATCTCCTCGACGGGCTTTGGCAAGGCGTCAGCGTCAGCGTTGGCATTGGCATTGGCATTGGCGTTGGCGTCGACGTCGGCGTCAGCATCGGCAACGGCAACGGCCGCCCGCACCTCACCCGGCTCGGCCGGCGTCAGCTGATCCACTGCAGGCGACTCGCTCGCCGCTGCTGTTGAGCGCTTCTTCTCGGCGGACTTTTCCCGTTCGCCATAGAGGCGACGCGTGGCATGACGCAACTTGCCATGTCGTTCGCGCCGCTCGACCGGCTTGTCGGCCAGCTTCTTGGCCGAGTTGGAGAGCGGCACAGCTGGCACCGCCGCCGCTGCCGCTGTTGCTGCTGCTGCTGCTGTTGTCTGCACACTGCTCGCATCGTTGCTCAGCTCCAGCTCTGCCTTTAGCTGCACATCGCTAAGCTTGGGGCTTGACTCTTTGGCCCACTCCTGTGTCGCATCCAATTCCCGCTCCCCCAACTCCATTTGTGCTGGCGTCGACTGTTGCTGCTGCTGCTGCTGTTGCTGACGCAGACGCTGGCGCTGCTTGGGCGGGCAGGCGGCAGGCGGCGATGCCAATGCGGCGGAATGTGCAGCCGGCAACGTTTCCTCAGCGAAGGGACGCGTCGACTCCAAATAAGCGCGCTGTGCGGGCTCCAAGTTGGCCGCATATTGCGCCAGTTTGCGACTGAAGAAAGTAAGCCAAAAAAAAAAATAAAATAAAAGCCAAAAATGTAACCGCATTCCGAGATCGAAGCGCACAAAACCCATCAACTCTGTTCTGCATTTCGTGAACGAGTATCGAAACAAAAGCGAACACTTAAAACTGCATACCAAATTCAATAATAAATATTTCAAATATTTCAAGAACATAAAGTTTATGCACGGTTGGTCCGTCGGACGGTCGGACAAACGGACGAACATGGCCAGTGCCACGGACACTCAGCTCACTCGACGTCATATATATTTATTAAATTGTTCCTAGACTATGTCTTAAAGGGTATCAACCCAGGCTCACATACTGAAGGGGTCTTAGCTCAGTGTGTCCTAAGCAGTCACGTTCAATAGACCCCTCCGTCGGCTATCTAGCTGGGTTTTCCGATTTACACCTCAAAGCTGTACAGACTATTGCTTCACTATTTAAGCATTTGGTATCTGGTTAGATGTTTGGTCAGTCAGTTAGTACAGGGTATTGACTTACACATTAAATACATCGTATGTGTCATCCAGGGGAGGTCGTCCTCGTTTGCGTTTGGGTCCCAGAAACGGATCTGAGACGGGTGCTGGGCAATCCAAGCCAGCGCTGGCACTGGGCAGGGGCGTCAAGTCGGGCAAGCGAGCGCCGGCATTTATGCCCAGGACACTATCCAGACCCGCTGGCGAATGGCGTTCGCGATCACGCTCACGTTCACGTTCACGTTCCCGATCACTGTGCGCCAGCGAGTGCTGGGCCTGCAGATGCGGCGCCTGCTGATGGACCAGATCGTGGGCATAACTCTCGGCCAGACTGCGTGGAGGCGAATGGAACTCAGCGGCTGGCATCGGAGGCGGCGGGCCATCGTCATCATCCCGCCAGGTAACCTCGGCGAGGCCCTTGATCTTCAGATCGTCAGCGGTCTTCAGCAACGAGGGCAAGCTAGCCTGCAAACACAGAGAGACGAACAGCATAACTCCATACTCCAGCTCCAGCCATAGACTATAGGCTATAGCCCGACCGAGACGACTCACATGCTCCACATTGATCTCGCCCTTGTACATGAACTCGATGAGGCACTTGACCTCAGCGAATGTGACGTCCTTCATGATGATAATCGGATCACGTTCGCTGGCATAGTTCGATAGCACCGAGTCGAAGAAGGTGCTGCACGCACAAAGCACCACGCGATGCGCCCTTATCAATTGGCCCTCGCAGGCGAGCGTCACATCGCAGAAACAGCCGCGATCCAGCAGCTGCGAGAACATCGTCTGCAGATTGCTATGATGGTACTTCCAGCGCAGGCAATATTGCTGCGGCAGCATCGTGGACGAATCGAGTGGCTCCGTTGCTCAACAATCTAAACAAATAATAAAATGCCACAAATCCCATCAGTTTCGTCAATCAACATAAAAAACAACAACAATAAACAATACGAAATTATCTAGAAAAGCCACCAAAGCAATTTAAATAGCTTAAGGAAAGCAGAGCCAGAGCCAGAGGCAGAAGAAGGAACTTCATAATTTTTAAATTGCAAACAATTCCAAAATAAACCAACTAAAACTTTTCGTTTTGCAATTGCTATCAGCATTATATTATTGTTTACAAAACAATAAAATAATAATTAAATGTAAAGAAAAATGTGTGAAAAACAATTCATTTACAACTGCTCGAACCAAAAACTAGGCAAATGACAGCCACAAGAACATTTCAGTTGGAGCATAGCCGACTGCTTAATGCACGCTCACGCTAGTTTCTAACTTATGAAAACATAGAGCTATATGTGGGGCAGGAGCTCAGCAATTAGCTAGGACAAGGGGAACTTTGGCAGCAGGCGAAAAGTCTTTGACTTCAGCAGAACAGACTCGCGTTGCGTCCAGTGAGCGAGCATAAGCAAAACAGTTAGAGCGCTCTAGGCGCAAGCATCTCTGCTGCAATAGTCTATGACATCCGTTTGTATCAAAGACCGGGCTTTACTATTTCAGTTAATTTGTTCCCAACAAAGGAAACAATGAGAATCGATGCTTTACTCTACCAAATACAAATACCAAGATTCGTTAGGATTTCAAAGCATCTAAAAACTAAATCTGAGTCGTTTATCGATTAATAAAACCGATAGTTTTTGTTGCCAAAATCGAGTCTATCTGACTAATCCTTGTCTATCTGACTAATCAAGCATTTGCAACAACACAAGTCCATATGCCCTGTTTAACCATTTTAAATGGGTATTAAAATGGCTTAACACTAGAAGCAAATGTGCTAAAATATGAGAAGAACTAATCAGATTCCATAGGGCCTCCATTATATAAAATTACATTTGAGTATATTCAAGATTTATAGATATATATAGAGATATACAAATATAAATAGTTTTCTAGTTTATCAATATGCGCTATAAGTTATCGCCTAGAAAAGGCTATCAATTTGAGGAATTTGAAACCTTTTTTCGCTTTTACAAATTGAGCCAACCCTTTTATGTTTTATATTTCGGGAATGTTCTTGGAATATTTCTTTAAATTTTTTACATTATTTTTATTATAGGGATAAAAAAAAAAACAAAACAAGACTGCTTTTCCTGATGTTTTTTATGCCCAAGTTTAAGTGGAAAGCGTGCGAACACACGCACTCTCTCTCTCCCTCTCTCACACACACACAAACACACACAAAAGAAAGGACACACAGAGTACCGCAAAGCTGAGAGATTAGCTTAGCCTGCTCGACTAGATAATATCCGGTAAAAATATACAAATATATAGAATATAGAATATAGAATATAGAATATAGAATATAGAATATAGAATATAGAATATAGAATATAGAATATAGAATATAGAATATAGAATATAGAATAAAGAATATAGACAGGCAACAGAGGGAATAACTGAATGCCACATCTTTACAAGCTATCAAAGGGCACAACAGGCCAGGCCATTAGGACATACCCTGCGGGGCAAAAATACAGAAAAATAGTTTGCAGCATTTAAAAAAAGTAAAAAGAAAAAGACAACAAAAACAGAAATTGCGTTTCACTATTTAATTTCGAAAAGAAATTGACGTGAAGCAGAGAGTGAAGAAGAAGAAGAAATGAAGAAAAGCTGGCACATAAAGGAATTTGCGAAAAGTGCAGCATATAGAAGACAAGATACATAGCTATACATACGGATACATAGATGCGTGAATATAGTGAAGCATAAGGAAGAAGCAGAGGAAGAGGCCGAAGTAGAAGCAGAAAAAGAAAATACCCAATGTCCGGCCACCCACAACAAGGAAACACATTTCGCCAACTGCTTTTGCAGCAAAGGGTTTTTTGATCCCAGCACACACACACACACACTTTACATGAGCTGTTATACATTTCAGCTCCTTAAAAAAATACATATATATATACATATATATGTAGGTATACACGATATATATGTATAGCAAAATAAAAAAGAACGCAAAAATTTACAACGAGAGCGCAAAAAGAATGGCATATAAAAAATACATGTTTTATTGTAGTATATTTTTGCCGCCCAAGCACTACCCCCAAAGCGAACGTACGGCGCCAAGCCTCATCCTCTTAAACAACCCCAACCTCAAGCGAACCCAACTTGAACTCAAGGCCCCACACACACACAGAGAGAGCGAGCGCCGTTGCCTTCTTCGCTTCTTTTGGTTTTTCTCATGGAAAATATTTTTCAGTTTTTATCACATTTTTCGTCTTCTTTGGATTTCGCTTTTTTACGTTTCGTTTTTTTTTTTAAAACATTTTTTTTTCAGTTTTTTCTTCACTTTTTTATATATTTTTTTTTTGTGTGTTCCTGTTTTCAGTTATTATACTCTAACTATGTCATGTGGCTATTTTAATTATGCTGCACGGCATGTTACCCTATCTATCAGTTAGTCGGGTATATGCACGCCCATATACATAGATACTGAGAGCTAAATTAAAAACTTGCGATTGTCATCAAAGGTTCCTGTCAACGATTGAAGTTGTATCAAGAGAGAGGGAGAGAGAGAGTGAGAAAGAGAGAGAGAGAGAGAGAGAAGAGAGAGGAGAGAGAGGAGAGAGAGGAGAGAGAGGAGAGAGAGGAGAGAGAGGAGAGAGAGAGAGAGAGAGAGAGAGAGAGAGAGAGAGATAAGAGAGAGAGAGATAAGAGAGAGAGAGATAAGAGAGAGAGAGATAAGAGAGAGAGAGAAGAGATAGAGAGAAAGAAGAGATATAGAGAAAAAAGCGAGGGAGTTAGCGGAAAGGTAAGAGAGAGAGAGAGAGATAAGAGAGAGAGAGATAAGAGAGGGAGAGAGAAGAAAAGAGACAGAGAGACTACTACTAAAGCTTAAAGAGTGCTAAATAAATATTCTTTTAATTATTGATAGACGCACTATCTAATGTAGGGTATATTAGCTATTAACTACTATGAGTAGTCTTTACCCCAATGATAATGTGTATTAGGTAGTGAAATAATACTAATAACTACTGAAATATATACTAAATAATTAATTTTATTCTGAAATCAAGAAAATAGAAAAAAATATTTCAGCTTATGCATTTTTACATAAGCTGGTCAAGTTCAACAGAAATCTAATTAGTTTCTGTAATCAGTGCATTATTAACTAATGTTAAAGCACTCGTTAACTTTGACAACAGGATAATATGTCTCATATTTTCACTTAAAGAATTAGAGATTAATGAAGAGCAGCTCACATGGGCACCTGTCAAAGTTGACAAGCACTTTAACATGTTGTCTATACACTAACAGTATATCTTCAGCTTTAAAATCGACAATTGTCAATTAATTTATCAAGAGTGTTAAATCAACTAAAATACAACCAAAAGCCACTGCTAAATGAAAGCTTAATTTCTGTAAGTGTATTTCAATTGGCGACTTGCTTGGGAAAACTTTTTCATCCTTTTTTTGTTTTGACTTTTTTCTTTTCTTTTTTTCCAACTGTAAGGCAAGAAACGTCGTTGGCTTCATGAACGCAAACAGAAGATGAAGAGGGGGACAGAAAGAAGAGAGCAGTGGCCACAGAGAGAGCGCGAGGTGAGGGACGGAGAAGAGGACGGCGATGGGAACGAGGAAGGAAGAGAGGAGCGCGCTACGGTAGGGCCATGACGCAAAAAGGTTGCGAGCGGAAAATGAAAAAAGAAAAAAATTTAACAACAGCAAAAGCAGCAGCAACAGCAGAAACAGCGACGTCGACTGCGGCAGCAACAGCAAAAAAAAAAAAAACAGAAAGAAAAATAAAAATAAATAAATAAAAACACAAAAAGCGCCAGAGAACATGGCAAAAGCGGAAAAAAGCATAACGACCGTTGAGTTCTTTTTTTTTTCTTTTTGCTTATTTTATTATTATTATTTTCATTTTCTGTCTTTCTCCGCTCTTTTGTTGCTGCTGCTGTTGTTGTTGTTGCCAGCTTTTTTAAGCTGTAATTTTTTACTTGACGTTTTTTATGGTTTTTTTTGCGCAATTTTATCCTTTTTTTTAAATATCGATTTTTATGTCAACTTAAATGAAAGGTACACAGTTTCCCATATATAAACATATATATATATATTTATATGGAATTCTATATGTACGTACATACATATATATATATGTGTGTATGCTTCGGCACTATTAATTTTGATTCAAGAATCGCCCCCTTTCAGTTGCTGCCTGGACTTTGTTGCATTGTTGAAATGTTCACGTCGCAGAAGAAAGCGAACGAAACGAGCAATTTCAAAAGCTCTGCTCAAAGCTTAACGGAAAGCTTTTCCAAGCTTCTCTTTATGATATGAATGAAATGGATCAATTATCGTAGCCTAGCTAAAGCTAAAGCTACACAGTAGATTAGCTTTCATTCAAATTTACTCATACATCATGATTGATAGATTTGGAGAGCAGAAGAATTTAATCAATTTAAAAAGCTTAAAAGCTTATGTTAAACTAATAATGAAAAAAGTTTTTTTTATGACAAAAAAGTATCGTTTGGCATGGAAAATAGCAAAAAGTAGATAAGTTGATAAAAGATACGTCGAAGTGAGCAGAATCATACATCACAATTGATTGATGATTGATGCTTTACAAATATACTCATCAAACAGTTGAACTTAAGTTGAAAACTTTAGATCGTAAATGATTGATGTTTGATAAATGATGCAATAGAACGTATCATATGCATAGAACATGTAGTTAATATATTAAGATATTTAAAAATAGATATGATTGATTGATTGATGAACAATTGAATTATTATTTATGTGTATGCAATACGTGAAACTCTTTTCGTAAGCTCATTATGTGATGCGTTTGATTAAAGATAGTTACATATATGATTGACATACATGATATGCATGATTGATAGCTTACGGTACATCATATGAATCTGATTGT